ACTTAAGTTTGAAACATTTATCCTTCAGGTTTATTGTTTAAAGAATATATTAAAAACCTGTATGCTTTGAGAATAATTAACTATGTTCATGGTTTGAGGTAAGTAGATGACTGATCGATTTCAAAAGTAGTGAAACTTTGTTTTATAGAATTTCAGTAAGCAGCATAGGGTATATAAAAGCTGAAAATGAATCAGCTTGAACTAATTCAACGACATCAAGAGTCAGAAGTATCAGTATTAATAACTAAGATTGAATTCTCTAGTATGAACACTTAAATTTGTTGCGATTTTATAACCAAATTTCAAATAAATACTTAGCTTACACGTTTCTTGTTGACTTGTACATGTTATTAAAATATATGTAACATTCTGAAAAAATCCTATACCTAGTTTATGGGGGATACTAATAATAACTAGTTAATGGCCATCCTTATATTTTTACTGATAAAATCTAGTAGTTTTGAGGAACCCCAAGTTATAAGAGAAATAGGAAACATTTCAATCACCGTAGAGTACTTTAAAACAGACATAAAAAATTGTATCTGACAGAAAACTATGGTTGATACTTGGAAAGAGCATACAAAGTTACCATTGCAATCAAATGATTTCATTTCACCCTAAATAATTTTAGTTATTGGTAAAATGTACATTACTAACATTTCTGTTTAAAATGGTGTGAAATACATGTTCAGTTTAAGCTGTTCAATAGTCTTAAATTTAAATTGCTGTATATTGATGATAACCAGAAAATTGCTTAACAATAAAAAAACTACTCATTTCATTGTCATTTTCATGCCTAAACAAATTGTAAAATTTAATTAGGATTCAAGATTAACTCTTCCAACATACAAACAGACAACGAAAGTAAAGAATTATTCTATATCAGAATCATCTGATAATGATGAACCTTCAATTCAGAAAATAAATCGTAAACGATTTAAATGGGATCCAGAGGATAAAATTGCAATGGATATAGATTTGAGTCAGAGTTCAACGTTCACCCTTACACCTGTATTAGATGGATGCAGTTATACAAAAGAAACACCAACCATTCCTTATATACTATTAAAAGATAATACACCTGATTTATCCTCCATACAAAGATCATTTATTAACCACGATCTCCTTTGTGCATCCTGTCCACCTATATGTGATGGATCTTCGAAATTAGGATACTTATCTAAGAATTCAGTAAACTTAGAATCAATGCAAAATCAAAACTCATCATTATATTCGAATATCAAACAGGAAACTGAATTAAGATCTGATTGTTCGATCAAATCCGACTGCCTAAATAATAACTACAACATAAATCACATGCATGACAAGGAATCAGTTAAATACGACGACGATCAAATTTCAACACCGATAAAAATGGTGCAATACAAACCTGATTGTACAACGAAAGCAAAATTCAACGAACATGATACAGTTGTATTAACTGATCTATCAAAATCTAATTTTCCACTTCAACCGTATACGGTAGATATTGCAAACTGTACTCCTCATCGAGAAGAAAATTCTACTACTGTTATGACAGAAATAGAATCAAATTTTGGCAATACTGGAAATTCAACTCTTGAAATTTTGGAATTAAATGAAAAAAGTTTTAATAAAGGTAAAGATTTGAAAGTTTTAAAATCAGTTCAAAATAATCAATCTAGAAAGATGAATGAAGGTGCACTACAATTACAAAAGAAAATAACATGGTCAAAAGATATCACTGTCAACAATGCGATTCAGAAAAAACAGAAAAACCAATGGAAAAATGAAAACGATCAATTATTATACGAATTAGAAAAATCATTTTCGGTTGATTATCAACTAATTAATGACGGATGGTGTGAATTGGCATGTTTAATCAAATTTTCTGAATTAGGTCTACTTCACGGTATGTTTGAGTATTGCCTAGGTGTATGCTTTGTTAATGAATTTTGAGTGAAACTGTTTTCAGTAGTCATCTTTTATACCACATTATCAACTTTAGTTCAAGAAGTCAAGTGAGACTCCTAACATACACACTTTGCAGTTCAAAGTCTAGTATATCTCTGGTATCGTTGTTAATCAGTTTTATTTAATCTAAATAAAGCTTGAAAATACTTTCAAAACAAAATTAAGTTATTTAGATGATTTTATAGTTTCAATCATACAGCATTTCTAGATCACACTTTAGGACTAACGATATGGATTTAACTGTTAATTCTTATTTTTTATTGCAATACAGCTAACAAGTTCTTTAGAAAATCACAATCACACTTTCTTTTAAAAACTTTATAAATAGATAATTCGGAAAAAGAAAACTAATTTCGTTTCAGGATATCGTGGAATTATTTTATCACACAATACTTTTCCATTATCCAATCAAAATCCCCGACTTTAAAGCTGAAGTGAAGGAATATTAGTAAAAATAATATATTTGTAATATCCCAATGAGTAGAAAATTGGATTTTCTGACGTTTCGTGACTTAGTGTAAATCACTTCTTCAGAGAATAAATAACCAAATTTATTCGAAATTATCAAATCAAACCTTGGTAATGACACCTACAAACTCATGAAGGAATATTAGTTGATCGCTTACTAGAACATAAGATAGAGCATAATGATTGCAGTAATTAAACATGCAACAAAAATACACAACTTTCGACCATCACAGTCTAACTTTCTAATCAAAATCTTAGAAGAGAAACGGTATTATGAGAAACTGATCGATTCAGTAGAGTGATGGATTACAAAAACAGAAGGACTTATTTGTATTCGTCAGAGGTCAAGTAAGCATTTAAATATGGACGACTAATCTAGGGTGATTACAGAAAATATATAGATTTTTCTATCAAATTTAAAAGTTTATTCGATGTTTCTTTTTATTCAATAGAACAAATAAAGCCTAACTCCATATCCACAGGGACAGAAACTCCTCAACCTTCTTGCTCCGAAATGCAACTCCAATATGAAAAGGATAAAGAGGAAAAGCGAGTGTACAGTACAAACATACCGAACAGTGCAGTAAGTTTTATCTTCACTCCTGCTCACAAGTGCATAGTAAAATAGGTTATTTTGTCATTACTACGATTACTAAAAACTTCAAGTGTAGAATATAAGTTACGTAATAGTTTATAAAATGAACTGTTTACTTTACTCAGTGATGCAATGGGTTTGTCAAATGTTATATAGAAGATAAAAGATAATTAACCGAGTTATAATTTCTGTATGAACCGAATAAGTTGCCTACAATATGTGATATACATGCTTTCAAATGGAATGCGGGCTAGTTTAAGGTTAGGTAAAAATACGATGGCTTCAACCATAAACACGGTCCCTAAAGCCTGGTTTGCATCATACAAGTGATCATAGACTTTACTACGTTTCTTGAAAAATAAATACCGACAGTTCTAATTTCTAATATGGGTTCACAATCACTCACTTTTTATTTACATTTCAAGAATCTATCAAGTTTATATTTTGGGTGGATTCAGTAGTGTTAATTTCTATATTCTTCCACTTTTCATATATAAATGTTCTAACAATAAGAGCCTTCAGTTTACCGGTGCAACAAGTGATAGACAAAAAAACGAACTTCGGCTTGAGAGAATTTGTATTTCAAGTTTTTTTACCGAACTTTTTCTACAGAAGGTAATCTTGAGAGATAAAGAAGCAGATGAAATGCATCGATTTTGATATTTTATTTAGATGAGAAGCAAAGCCCCACAGCATCCCAAAGTGTACCTGAGCATCATAAGACTATTGCATTCTTTGATTTTAGGGAGATATAAGGCATTGAAATTAAAATACGTTTGGTCATTGAGTGTGAGCAAACAGGCACTTAACATACTGATTATTAAATAAGTGATTTCCTTTCCTCCCATTGATTTCTACTCCGGGCTCACCGAATGTGTTGAATATAGTATTATCTGGTTCTCTATTCAGAGTCGTGAATCCTGGATCTGATATAAAGTGGCTATTCGCATTATCGTGGCATACTTGAGAGAAAAATAATTCATTATCAGTTTTATTAGATTATCTTCTGTTATGATGACCGAATATATAGTTCGATGCAAACGCTTTAACTGGTTATTTGGTGAAGGAATAATTGTTGGGTTTTATTGGTCAACAAATAATATGAATCGTATGAAATCATATTTATTTAATATACACTACTGTGCCTGATCGGGGTCCATAAGATTGTCGTAAACAATGGTTGGTGACGTTGAATGACATGGCTTAGAATCTTTCTAAATGGCACAGATACATTCATTCTGTCTTTCCTATAATCCTGAACTTAAAAAATATCTTACACCTTTTTATTCCACGAACTCACTTGTGTCGAATAATAGCGCCTATTTATAATCATTTCTATTGCTAATCATACTATTTCTACTACTCTGGGATTTATCTTGATAATTTCATCTTGCTGTATAAACGTGGTATAAGAAATTGAAACGAAACAGATAAGGTTCGGGTTCAACGTTGCATGTGATTAACTTGTTGCAAATGAGAGCTGAAGCCCTACTTCACAACTGATAAAATAAGAAAAAGCGGCGTTTAGAAGAACCATGTTAGACCAATTCTGGTAAGCAGTATAGAGTAATGGTATTTGAATATTGTTGTAATAAAGAATTTCAGTGGACATGACTAAACTTCAGATCGCGCTATAGGCTTAAATCATAAGAATATTCTTAATGTTCTTTGTATTGAATCTAAGCAAGCAAATATCAATTATCCCATAATAAAACTTGTACTCACATTATGACAACTAATTACAGTTTTATCCGACGGATATATGTAAACCTAAGTGCTCGACATATTTTTCTTAAATCTCAACATACCTATGAGTAGAATAATCGAGGAATGTTGCTTTGAAAGCATTCTTTATCAGTTTTTACACATTAATTATGTATTTCTTTTCTTTAACCGATAGCCAACTACATTAGCTCTTAAACAAACTGGAATTGGAATACTGAATTTATCCCTAACTCCTGATTCATACATTAAAGAAGAATGATTTACATAAGACAAATCTATTATTATTGTTAATATTATTATTATTCATGTACATACATTGTTACAAAAATTATTAAATAATGATAAGAAATACTGTGACGTTTTATTATTGACTGAAACCTTTTGTAAACAAAAGTATCCTGGTGAAAATGTATGATGTTTTTTTGTTACGAAAATATACGTTTGACAAAAAAGCTACTGAAGATCTGTATCACAATTAGATTATTGGAAGGTTTGATTAGTTCCTCATATACTAGGTGGGAAAAAAATAAATGAAGGTTTAAAATAATGAATTATTTGAAAAAAAATTTATAATCAGTAAAAGTTTTTACCTACAGAAAGAACACACTACTGAGTTGCTCTATCCATTTAAGTACAACTCTTTTCAAAAATACCTACATATAATACAGTTACAAACTGATGTAATGACTAAAGTCGAAAGAAATTAGAGATCATGACAGGATACAAAGCAGCAGCTTACCAGAGTAGAGCATTACATATAGTGAACACGCGAGAATCAATAAATCGCAATGTATTATGTAATGCCCAGCTACATAAGTTGCTTTGACATCTAGTAAACATGGTAATACGTTTTAGATGTTCAAAACAAGTTTACTTACAACTAATGATTCTTTCAAATACTATTAGGATCATGAAAAGTTACTAATTAATCTCAAGTACTACAGCTTTCATTGTAATATGTTGTAGATTTTGACCAGAAGGTGTGGGTCACATGAAAGGATGCTAGGTTTTTATTTTCCTAGTTGTTACTGATACGGATGAGAGCTATGATGGAAGCACAGAAGACTAACTGATACATGTTAGGTATGCCTAACCATAGATTACCATAATGCTCGATCCTAGTTGACATATGATTAGTATGGAAAGAAACTGAGGATCTACATCACATCGATAGGTTCACACATTCTGGTTTGGATCTACACAATAATCCTAAGCAATGGTTGGGCAACATGTTGTAAAATCCGTTATAACAGAGTGATTACACTTATTCTCTGGTTTCTTATAAATTCATTGTTAACTATCATCCTTAACTTGAAAGTCTTCAATTCCATTTGCTGCTTATAAACAGAATTTTTTATGTTCAGATTTCTATTGTTTTTTATACGACTGACTTCCCTTAGCTTCTTATCTAAAATTTCCCTCTCCTTGTGCTGATATTAAATGCGGTAACTTGGCCCGATATACATTTGTATCGGACCTGATGTTGATGTCTAACTGAAAAATCCATAAATAAAACCTTAATAAATACATGTAACAGCTCATTTACCCATGAAACTATTTGAATTTCAGCAAGCATATGAAACTAACACTATAAATCTTTCATTAGAATTAGACTATCAAAGCAATTGAAATATAACTAATGAAAAGAACATGAAAGGAAACAATCTACGAATACTATCGAAGAAGTATCCTTCTCAAACACAACAATCAAAATCGCATATCAATCTATCATCTATTAAGACAAAAGTGTTGCCAAAGAATACGAATGTGACAAGTTATTTAGTTTCGTAAACAATATCTGTTTCATGTTAAGAAAAAAAAGAAATTGACTATTCCCAACATAATAGAAGTTATTTACTTGTACAATAGTGTGTATTCGTTCCATAATATCAGGTACAATAGCCTTGATAGATTCAGTCATACGATTAGCCAGTCGACTAACAGCTTTCTCTTCTGATTGATGTACACAGAAATGTTCTTTTAAAAATTCAGATGCATTATTTTGTTGACCATTGAAACTCTGTATTCCTGTGTTTGACATTAAGGAAAATAGAGTCAAAAATAAATTCGCGTGCCTGTATATCAATAAAAAAAATAATAATACAAGGAATTGTTAACTACAATTGGTAAAAGTGTTAATACTGTATAGATAACCGATGAACAAATAATTAAAATTAATTTTGACACGAAAGTTATATGAAATTTATTATTATTATTATCAGCTTTATTCAATATTATATTTTTGGTACAATATAGAATTCTCAGCGTAAAGTATTTCAACAAGTTCCCGTTTCTTTCTTCTTGGTCGGTCCTGGCGATAAATATCGAGTGATCGCCAGTTAGATGTTAGCAGTTCAGTAAATGAATATCAGAATAATGTGCATTCTTTTCGCTGTATATTGCCAGCAACCACATTGGCTCTTATTGAGTTTTTTGTAACTTTGATAACGAAAGTTTGTACAATTTTCAGAAACGCAGCAGAATACATCATGCGATTAATAAACATATTGATATATTAAAACAAACATAAATAGATAACTTGTTAAAAATATCTGGATGGCAGGAACAGGTATCCCAGATGCTCAAGCAGGCCGCCCTACAACTAATAAGTGAAACACGCGAAATCATACAAAGAATGGACATTTATGTGTATGGGAAAGGTAGTGTTATATCATGAAGTGAATGAAAATGAAAAACTAAAACTATGAGTTTCGGGATAAGTGGTTCAACATTAGCATTTTCTTCAAGACTACTATTAGCACCAACTGTTTAAGGTATAAAGCTGCTAAAAATTATCCTAATATCTGTCAGCGATGAAAAATCGATCAACAGTTGGATGGAAGAATTGAATACAGATCAAACTAATGAAAATAAATACTACAGTTGTTTAGAAATGAGTCGTAATATAACGATTAAACTATATAAAACGTTTTTCAGCATATTTTATTTGAAACATTTGAACAATACAGACGTTAACTTAAATAATAACAACGTTTATATTCAAGCTAAAAACAATAATATGTTATTACATAGAAAGATGATTAAATGTGTTAAGTTTTGATTGAGATCTTGAACCAATTGATGTTAGACCATCACAATTGAAAACCTGGAAGCACTGGACGGCCGTTTCGTCCTACTGTGGGACCCCCCAGCATTGCGCACCCACGATTCCGCGGGCTGGATTCGAACCCAGGGCCTTCGGTCTCGCGCGCGAACGCTTAACCAACTGGACCACTAGGCCGGCATCCAATGGTGATAGTTTCTAACATCAACCAATCCACGAAATTGCGCGACCAACTTCCATTGTACTTAAGTAGATAACTGTCTCTACCCGACAAGGATTAGCTCCACTGGTCACGGCTTCTCATTAGAACTCCGAGAATTCCCTCACGAAGCTAGTCACTAGTGAGCACATGTATTAAATAAATCTTTAGATTGTACCAGATTTTCACTACTTATCAAAATCATTTATCACTTACCGTCTTAAAATAAGAAAAGCTGTAAAAGTGATTTTCCAAAATTCATTAAATTGATTTGAATTTGGGCCACCCATACCATCAATCATTGCACGAGTTAATCTTACTTCAGGTGCCATTGGTTTAGGATCAGCGCCAAGAATAAAACTAAAATCAATATGAAATAAATGACCATCAGCAGTGAGCAGTAAGTTCTCCATATGACGATCACCAACTCCAAGAAGATAAGTGATGACACAATAACCGGCTGTAAGAAAAGCAAAAAAATATTGTAGTTTCCTTAATAAAGCGCTTGAAGGTAGTATAAAATATTCATGTTACACACTGTTAGAGGAAGAAATACCACATAGTGATTGAAAATATTTGTGAAACTAAACAATTAATTGAATCATATGATAAATAATGATAAAATTCTCTGTCTAATGTTCTTCCACGATCACTAAACCTTCTACTATGTATAACAACTTAGTATTCATCTTGATTATTTTACTACATTACGTAAGTATAGCTTGATAACTTAGAACGGTGCACAAATGTGCTAGTTTCTATGCTGCTTATAATTGAGTTAGAGAGTGATAAAATCGAAGACTTCAGAAGATAAATGTACAAAAACACTAGTTTACTAGTGATCTTTTCTAATAAAAGCAGCTTAAAATGGCTCAACCAAACACGATAAAATTATTGAGGATTGAGATTATGAATTCAACTATAAAAAACAATGTAACTGAGTTGACATAGTAGATAAACGCGTGCTTTGAAGAAATATTGACATTAACTCTTCCCATACTTACACTAGTTTATTCTTAAATACTATTTCATTTGTATCGTCCTGTCGCATTCGCTTTGTTTATATTTCTCGTATTTGATAAGTTTTATCAATGAACGCTCGAATCGACTTCCTGATCGCTTTTAATAATTCCAGGCTAAATTTACACGGAAACTTGAATATAAAAGCAAAGGCGCAAAGTGTAAGAGGAAGGTTTTACTCCAAGTTTTGTTTATTTACAGAAAATCGAGGGCATTTATGGTGTTTCAGATGTCTTTGAGTTTCAGGAAGTTTCTGGAACGATATTAAATATAGTGGAAGCACAGGTAACTATCCAATCGAAAACGTGACTCATTGCTTTCTAAATGTTTCTGAGAAGCTTCTATTGAACGCTGATGAAAAAAGGATTCCCAGCGTTTTCTGGGTCTCTGTGACCTTTTTCGAGGAATACTTTGAATCTCCTCCATAGCATCAACTCCACAAAACAGGTTCTCATAATTTAGTAAAGACTTTTTACCCTGTTGTCACTTAATACTTTATTACTCTAACCGTTTTGTAGATTAGTACTTAAACACTAGAATTTTCAGAGTTATTATCGTCCTTGAGCTACCAAAACAGCTAGTGTTATTTATAGTCAATCTATAACAATTACTATTTACACAGAATACCACTTTCATTGACAACTAAAGCGTTTTTCTGTCTACAAAGTTATTTTATTCACATAAAATGGCTTTTCTTTATAACAGAAAAACATACCACAAGAACGAATATATGTTTCCATAACATCTTTTTGAACACCCATAGGACTATTTGGACTCGGAGCTTTTAACTGTAAATAAGCTAGTAATGTGGAACGATGAAGAATATCAGCCAATGAAATAGATTCGACAAATTGAACTAAACCTATAAGAAAAAAACATAAGAAAACTAAATGAAAAGTGATATTTTCATGTTTTATCAATACCGAAGAAAGTTTCCCGTCTGATTTATTACAGGAAAGAGTGTTACATACTTTTGCCATCACTCGGTATTTACTTTTACGATTTGTAAATTCTTTATTTTTGCCTATTATTCTTCACCATGCTCCATTATTCTTTCTCGGGCTTCTAAGAAAAGATTTTACTTTGTTGCGAAGAGCGCTGAAGGTAGTTAATAAGGTATACGGTGAATCTTTTAGTGTGTTTATGAATATGCTTGTGGACAGACATTTGAAATCTGAAGAACTACTGGCAAGCGTTACTTTATCAGACACAAGCCGTCTACACTATTCACATAGTTCTCTTTAAATATCTTCTGGTTAAACAAGACGCAGGTGTAAGTAAAAATATAAAGGCTTTACTTTGCTACCTTTTGTCATCAAATTTTTACTAAAAATCCTTGTTATGCTAAAATGTAAAATCCAGAATACGTAAAATGTTACACCGATGTATTTAAGTAAAACATAAGTAATTTACCATGACGGTTACTTGTTGCCAAAACTTTATATGGTGTCAATCGAAGGTCGAAATTTTCTTTGCGAAGTATCTACAACAGATAATAAAAAAACGCCGTAAAATAAATAAATAAAGCATTAATGGGAACAGGGCTAACATTTACCTATATTGGTGTTCAGATAGTTACAGAAGAAAAGTCTGAAATAACAACAAATGTGAATATTTTACTTCATTATTAATCATCACAAAAAGCTTGTGGAAGTCATACGTTTGGAGATAAGCAGTGGGAAGAACAACTGTTAACACAAATACAACTACTAATGTAAAGGGTATTAAGAGAAAGTTATATGAAATTATGTCAACTGATAGACTTTATAGTTAGCATCGCGGATTGATTTTAGTTAGACAAATAACGAAAACCAAGAAGTAATGGATAGCCGTTCCGTCCTAAAACATGAGCTCCTCGGTAGTGTACGTCTACAACCCAACCGGAAATGAAACCCAAGACCTGTAGGTCTCGTGGCGAGCACTTAACCCTTGAATAAGAAAACTTGATAGGAACAGTAAACGCTATGAGATGTAGCGAACTTATTTTATTTTATGCGTTTAGATTCTTCTGCATAAGCACTAAATTAATGAACAAGATGTTTAATAGATATAGTCTTGTGAGAATGAATCGTTAATAAATTTATTCTATGGTTATAAATAATCATGATTACTTCCCAAAATCTTAGAAATTCAATTTACAAAACAAGGGACAAGAAAGTTCAGAACGTAATGAACCGAAAGAAACGTGTAAATTGTTCACGACAGAAGAGATGAGCTGATAGAACTAATATCTATTACCAAAAATTATGAAATAATCATAATGAAGGTGATAATAGTAATAATATATCAAGTAGATATGAAAAATCGAAAAAGGTGCGAAGAACTGAATCCAAAAGAAGTTAAACGTGCTTTTTTGAAATAATAAGGCTGATTGTAATGATAACAGCAATAAAATATGGATGAAAACTCAGTTGAAATGAACAACGATGGTCATATTTTCAAGAGATAGGTAGTGAATGTGGACCATACGAAATGATTTTAACCGAAGGATCATTGAAAACCATAGTCTTAGACTGTCTCGTTCTAGTCAGCTTCAAATCCACTAATACTTAAGAGGCCTTAAGCAGCCAACCAGATATCGGCCAAATGACAAGCTCACATAATTGGTTAACGTGTGGCTCCCGTTTCAACAGCATGAGACGTTTCAATGTGGCTTGAATATCCAAGAGACACATGTATGGGTGAGCGTATAGCTTTTTTTAAGAAAACGGTCGATCAATGAAAAAACTTCCTTCTCACTCCCAATCTTCTCATCGCAAATAGGAAGCTTGTATAACAGTATCAGAATCGGACTAAATATACATATTTCTAGCAATGTAACTTTTATCGCATAGTGTCTAACTGAAAAAAAGTCAAACCATAAGGATCCATGATAAACTTTTGTGCTGTGAACACCATGAATTTTAAAGTACAGTTATTAGGAGTACCGAAGTTTTACAAATTGTCTTATTTTTTGAAGAACAAGTGGGTTTATATGTCAAATTCTATGGGTAAATTATTCCAATAGATAGTGTAGAAACTATGATAGACAAAGCCAACAAAATCACTGTTTACCTCGACGTCCTATACTATGATAGAAGTGAAAGCAATAAAACCTTATAAGTATCAAGTCAAAATATATAATTATTCGATAACCTCGCAGATTATACTACATAACTAACTGACTCTAGAAAAAAGATAATATTGTAAGAAGATAGAAACAATTATTATGTAGAAAAATGGTTTATGAGCATAAAACAATTACTAAATTGCAATAGTTAATCAAACTCAGACTACCTTTCCAATTATCAAGCGACTACTTTATGATATCTGAATGCTTGGTCGAAATTTCTCTTAACTTAGAAGAATAAACTAAAGGAAATCTTACCACATCCATTAACTCAATCATTTGTAAAACCAATTGATCCTGACGTAAATCATCACCGTGTTTTAAAATAGCTCGATAAGTGTCGCCATTCGGTTGGATAAAAGTTAGTAGTGCAGGTCGTTGAAAACTCTACAAGAAATTGATGGCAGGTATATAACAGAATAATTGAAAATCAAATTAATGGAACATTTACATTAAATTTATATTTTTAGTAGCCTACAATAATAAAAAAGATACGTGAATAATTTCTAGGTTCCTTTATGAGTTTGAAGGGAATTAATTTGCCAGGTACAGAACCGTGTAACTGGCTTTGACCCCCCCACCACCACCACCAAAAAAAATAGCTTGTCATATTAATCATTTTACAACTAAAGTTTTACAATATGTAATTTCAAAATTCTTTGAATGATGCCGTTCAAGATAATCATTTAAATGATGCTAATCATCGTAATTAACAGAGAAATATGCATATATCAACAAACCTTGAATAGTGTAGCTGTAGACGACTGTACACCGCATACAATAATATCCGGATTTAGAGGAAGCGGGAATGGTTTATCAATATGCCTAATATGAGCATATTCTTCACTATCCAACTTTGATCTTAACAATTCAATCTATACATTAAAGCAAAAATAAATAAATAAATAAGTTGAATGTACAATTAATATACACCAAATTTACTCGTTTACTTTACCAATGTCATGAACACCGGCATCAGCAAACACGTCTTTTTATCATACCTAGTTAGTTCAATTTGAACTGCTCTTGTGGAGCTATTTATTATGGGAGCGCAACTAGACAAATGCATCATCGTATTTCTGAACATCGCCCTTCATGCTCGACCAAAGGACAGAAGAAAGTAATAAGAATCTAGTCGATACTGGTCACTACATAGATAAAACGACAGCGTTATTTATAACATCTCTCCGAATTTACCCTATGGTTCTAGAGTCCGACTCTTACATATGATAGAAGCCATATGAATACATATCGAAAAACCTAACTTGTGTATGTACAAGGAGTTTAGACAGCCTTTGAGTTTACTTTAGCTTTCTACTAAGATACTGTTACATGTTTCGAAACCTCTCTTTCCCTTCTCTTAAAATTTTATATTTACACCCAATTTTAATTATCTAACTATTTGTAATAATTAACTTATTATGAAAATCCACTTTAGTTTTAATCTTAATCTGATTTTTTCAAACGCTATATAAAATAACTGATTAGTATTTAGGTAAACTGACTCACAACCATCTAGTTGCTATCAACTTTCTACAAACTTATAAAACATATGCATTAGTGTAGAGCCTTGATGAAGAACTCCGTGAAAAAAATATTTTCTTGCTGAACTTGTCTTTTTATTGTCTGAATGAGAATATTTAATGAATTAATACAATGTGATCCAGATTTTAATCGATGAGCTTTGGTTGTGAAAAGTACGTATTTAGTGTTTAAATAAAATCTTAGCATCAAATAGTAAATAAAGTATGATGAATGTTTAAGAAAGATACAATTATTCCATTGGTCTTGTACTAAGGAAACCATATATAGAAGTAAAAAGTGAGAGGTTCCAGATCGAACATTATAGGTAAAATACGTGAACGAACCAGTAAAAAAGAAACAATCGAATCGACTGACTTTATTGAACTCAAATAAGAATTAGACTTAATAAAATAAATGGGGATCATTCATTAAACTTAGTTTATTAAAAACACACTAAGAATCATAGCTACATGGATATTGAGATGTAAATTAGCAGTTACTTAGGTGCAAATTAAAAGAAAAAGAAGGATAAAATTCTCTTATTGAATATATTATGGTTTTTCAAATGAATAGGAGAACACATAAAATTAAATTACTTTGCGTGAACGATTACCCAAATCATTGGTAACTGATTTTAGCAACCGGCATAAATCTTGAATGAATTGTGTTTGTTGTAATAGTTCTATGTTCCATTTTTGACAAGTGGGACTACCCTATATATTAATTGGTTGGGAAAAAACACAAAGAAACCAAGTTAATGAGAAGTTCAACTCTAATACTTTACGGAAACATTATAATAAAGAGATAATCAAGTAAACCACTGTTACATTGGATAGGATCAAGAAAAATACCTTGTAACTAAATTGGATCCAATGATCACCCATAAATACATACTTAACAATTATTTCGGAGAGCAGTTAGCAGTAAAATCCAGGATAATTATTTCTTCCTATTTAGGACTAACCAGTCGAATGTACTCCTGTCGCAGTACTGATATCCACAGTGAAATTCAAAACTAGTAACCATTTATTCAAGGGTCAAAAAATAATTAACTCTAAATAGAATTAATAATGAGGCTTTCGTTTAGAGAGCTCGTATATCAACACAAACCTGGTGTTACCAATCAAAATAAATCGTGATTAGCCAATGAGCGAAGACAATATCCGCCTACCATGACTACAAGAGACTATCGTATAAATAAAACTGGCTTCACTTTCGTTATAATTTGAGATTACTTGTTAACTACTTTACATTGTACATTGATATGTTTCCGTTTTCAACAATACCTGGTTATCTATCGGCTTTCGGGAATTTAAATTGAGTGTCATATGATTAGGTACCATGTTCTATTGAGTTTACTAATCTATATCTGTGTTCCGTTCTATTGATATAATTTTATAGTGTCTAGTCCTCTAGCATAAAGTACCAGAATCGCAAACCGTGTATGTTCGTTTTAACACTAAAGCAATGACAGAGGGAAAGTACAAACATAGATAAAAAATTCAAGAAACCTGACCACTGAGAAATTTCAGAGTATATTGCTTTGTAATATTTCAACTTTCTAATGGTGTTGATACTTGAGATGCACTTATCAAAATGTGTTTGTTATTTCCAAAGCTAATAAAATAAACGCTTCAATCAACATCGCTACTATCAGAATTATCATTCTAATCCTAACAGAAACCAGATAAATATCAAAAGCACTTACAGAGTAACAAGAAATTTGGTGTTACGAGGAAAAATGATCGGTTAAAAGTTATAGACAATAATGATCAACGCAAGCCGGAAACTGATAAGATTAATGGTCGATATTCCTTCACCAGATTGGTGTCGATAATAAAATCAAACGTTTGCTCTCAGTAACATTAAACTATTTACCATGCATACCAGTAGTGTTTTTCATTCAACTTGTAGTGTCTAGCCCTATGTCAAGCCGACATGGGTTATTCTAGCTTCCAGGCAGACCAATTTACTTATTTTTCTCGAGTTACATTTCGACCTTGTTAATTATTCGCTTATAACGTAGACTGCTTTTATATGAAAATACGTGTGCATCACGTGCCCTATTCATAATGTCTTCAGCTTATTTTTGCCTAACTATAAATATTGTATCACGATTCGTCAAAACGAGTTGGCATATTTCATTTCTCCACTTCGCTTCGTTTTCCCGCTTCTTATTTTTAATGTCTATCGCCATATAAGTGTAACTGAAATAAATCCATCCAACTTAATCCGAGTTAGGTTTCTTAATACCGCCGTCTCATAAACGGGGTTAGACTGGGTAATATTAGGAGTTAAATGGAAGATTTATGTTCATGGCATACTCATACGTTCAATTGGAATCTTCTCGTCTAGATTCAAACAGGAGATATAGAGATTAGGTGGGTTAGATATCAACCACTTTTGAATAATTTTGAATAACCAGAAAGTAACTAGAAAGTAGTATTTTCGGATACCAGTCAAATACAGAAACATTATTAAGGTTCCTAATTCATAAGTTTTGATTTCATAACCGGAAACCAGTAAATGCTAAAATGAAACCTCACTGCACTATTTCAAGCTACTTATTGTCTGTTAATGATGTGCAGTCGTGCAGTCCAGTTACGTCTTAATTTCAAGTATCCCTAAAGTTATAAATTCAACAGTACAATGTGTTTTAAAAAAGTGACAACAACAATATCAAGACTGTACATCCACCAAATGGTAAAAACTCACAGCATCAAAAGCATGTAAAAGTCTATTCAAAACATGTTTATACATCTTTTGAGTATCAGGTGGATTTACTCTATCCCGTTCGCAGAAATCATCTTCACCATCATTACTGTTTGCTTCTAATCGTAAAAACCAATACAAGTAATTTGCAATACGAAAATTCAATTGAGCACGTCTTATAAGGAAACTGGCTAAATCTTCCTATAAAAGAAAATATATATTTGGAGAAAAAAGTTTTGTAACTAGTCCGATGAGTTGTTTAAAATTATATGTGCACTTGTGAACATTAAACTCTATGACTCAATGGTATTGTGCTCGTGACAATATCTAAAGATTCTGAGATCATTCTACTAAAAGTCTGTTTGTTTTATCCAATTTCAATGACTTCCATATTTCAGATCATTGCATCAGTAACTGAAATCAACTCGTGATTTTAATTATGATAATCCAACAGTCTTTACAAATCCTCATATACTAATAATAATTATGTGCTCACTAGTGACTAGCTTCATGATCCAAATCCAGGGGTTCTAGTAAGAAGCTGTGGTTACAGGAGTTCAATCGTGTCGCGTGTGAGATAGTTATCTACTAAAGGTAATGGATGAGAGTTCTGAAATATCGCGAATTAATTGAAGTTAGATATTAACACCGTTGGATGCCAACTCAATGGTGATCTAGAAGCTAAGCTTTGGCGCGTGAGACCAAGGGTTCTGGGTCCGACTCCCGAATGCAAAGTTGTGGATTAACACTGCTGGGGAGTCCCATACTGCGACAACACCATTATTTAATGCTTCCAGGTTTTCAATGGTTGCCTAGCTAAGATTAATTCGTGATTTAAACTATGAGAATTCTTCAATCTCCATAAATCCATTATACTAACATATTTATAATAATAAGTTAAACTAAAATATATTTTGTAAATAAACAATGCTACATAGTACACTTCATAAGCTTCAAACCTCGAGACTATAACTTCGTTTCTCTTTCCTGGAAGATACTAGGATTTTCTCAAATTACGGTATCGAGACTAAATGGTTTACAGTTGGTTGGTATTATATACATAGACGGTTCCGTTGTTAAATGTGACTGAAGATGAGATTTACTTGGTTTAAAGACTTTCAACATTTTATATAACTTAGATCACTTGATCGTTTGCTGTCAGATCACAGTTAAATAAAAACTCATTTCGAAACCCAAAGTCTCTTTAACTAAGAATAACAATGTAATTTATTTATTGATAATCAAACTCTGGTATTTAATCATAATAACTGTGACCACTTGGTGGTGGTTGGTTATATGAATTAAAAGCTAACGAAGTCAATTGGCTTAAAGACAAAGACATTCATGAATAAATAAAAAAAGTCGACAAAGTACACAGTTTTCTTAGTCAATTAATATATGGTTATGAGCACTGGACATTTCGGGGAAGAGAGAGAGCAATGTATAGAAAGAATTCATCGCCTGATACCTTGTTAGTTTTATCTTAGTGGAAGGGGTAGTGAGTTAAATGGATATCCAACAAGCGATTTGCATTCGATATTACTTACATTCAACAAGGTGAATACCGAAGCTGGTACAAGGGTACGATCCCTTGATACAATAAATACGATTCATATTATTATGTAAAAAATAACCCAATGAAAAAGTAAATGAAATTATTAGATACTAAAAATCAAAATGCACAAATATAAACAGAGTTAACTTACTTTCCATTCTTTTTTTAAATCAGAATGCCATCCAATTAATTCTTCACGACTGCGTTCAATATTTTGCAATGCTGTTGATGAATGAAATAAAAACAGGATGATGACTTACCACCACCTCGTCCAGTACGAAAAGATGATGGCATTTTACGATTTGATGTCAAATTTGTAGATTTCACCTCTTCAGAATTACCTTCTTTTGTAACATCTGAAACATTACGTTTAGAAGTTCGATCATTCCTTTTAGGTTGGACTGAAAATATATCATGCCAATTTTCATAGCGTAATGCTTGTACAAGTTGATATAAGTATAAAATAAGTTCCTAAATGGATAGATGGAAGTTCATATAATTGTTTTACATTCAGGAGAAAACACTACAAAACGATTATGAAATACAAATTCGTAAACCGAGGTTTGATGTCCGTTTGTTGAGTGAAGGTTATCTTCAACGAAGTACATGAAGAAAGATTTTATTCTTCTAACCAGTGTTCGGAAGACATCAAGTTCACTACAACTACGTACCAGGAACACAAAAAATATTGCATATACCGTTTAAGGAGACCTAACACCTGATGACGGATTACTTTAAAAAAGTGAAGAACTATGGTCTGCAATGTATACAAAAACCCAAAAAAGATATAAACATAGATATAAGAATAAATCCTAATTGTCAATCAATGTAGTGTGTTTGATGCTATTTCTTTTGTATAGTATGAACCAGTGGCCTTCGGGTTCATTTTTGACTCTTTAGGTAAGTGAAATCAACTCTTGAAGTTAGGATAGTTCTTTAAGTAAGCTAACATTTATAAGGAATGTTTAGTTCTAGCAACAATAAAAACCTTCTTCTATGTTTCAAACCAGTATTAGAATTGGACAATGTTGATTTTACTCAAGAACAATGAACTTGAAAAAGACCTGTTGCTTTGATGTAGAGACCACATTGTTTAAATTAAAAAGTTATGACGTGTAACAATGTCACAGTAATAGACGTAATATATATAACAAGACTAGACCTCCTAACTTGGAAAGTTTGCAATTTGATAAAGGCTGTAAAAAACATTTGATCCACAGTTTATATATCTCTAATTATTAACTTCCATCGAGTTCAATAATCCTGTAGAGTGAGAGTGATAAAAGTATACCAAGGTGACAGTCTTAAGTAAACCAATCAAAATTAAGAGAACACCTCATAGAGTTTTGCGAGAAGTTGAAAGTGAAAAACAAGATGGCTTAAATGTTATCAATGATTGAGTGAAAATAGGCAATATTTTGTTTCAGAAAAGCTTGAAGTTGATAAAAAGGAATATCTCCTATGCAATCAAACAGTGATATTTAATGTAATAAGACGAAGATTATCAGAACTATGTGATATATTAGCGCAATACATTTCAAACAATCTGATCACACATAAACATGTTAAGAACATTTAGATATAAATAGTATATGTATGATCAGATTGTTTAAAATGTATTGCGCTAGTATGTCACATAGTTCTGATAATCTTCGTCTTCTTATTACATTATCGAAATTTATCAAAGGGACTAATTGCTTTGAAGTGACATTTAAGCCAAATTACAAGAAATACTTGCTCTGAAGCAGATTCAGTTAATATACTTCAAGTGACTTAATGCATAGTCAAGAGTGTTTGTGCAGCTACATAGTAAACTTCTGACTCTAAATATCAACCATAAGTTTCCTAGGTTTTTAAAGGAAAAGTTTACAAAGCATTATTGCGCTTATAGCGCAAACTCACAACATTAGCCCGACATATAAAATGTGACTTAATCTACTTTCCTTAATATGAAGAATAATTCAACATGTAATGGTCAATTATTCATATCAAAACTACTATTCCACTGTAATTTTATTAATTATTTTTACAAATAAACATAATTCTCTAATTGGCTGATAAGTCGCTCAAGATCTTCAGTATAATAAACTTTTACTTTAAGATCTAATAAACAAGTTACATACCCATTGATTTGAAAATAAAATCTAGTAGAAAAAGCCTTAGACTAGTTTTCCGATCTCTCGAACTTAATAAGCTGAACCAGTTAGCGGTTCATCAAGTAAGTATCTTAGCTACTGCTTTTTTGTTAAACTCTTATTTATGTTTTTGCTTATTAAACTACAGGGACAAAACGGTTAATATCATTAATAATAAAAATATAGTGATATTTCAGTGGGTAGAAATTTGGACGTCTCGTAACTTGATTCAAGCCAATTCTTCAGAGTGAACGAATAAACGACTAGATTAAATATTTAGTTTAATATAAATCAAAATCAAAATAGGTCTGGTTATGCCAGCGTCCATTGAATCATCGGTCAATGTGATTCCATGTGAGACGCATCACCGGGTATGTTTGTGAATATGCTGATGGATACGAAAAATGTACAATTTGTAATGTGGAGGCGTAGAATTGAAATTTGTGTGTTCATTATGTGAAAAATGATTGGAGTTAAATGCGATCGGTGAATAAATGATTCAAGTTCCTTCCTATTTAAGTTTGAGAAATTGAGCACTGTATAAAACGTCTGCCACTCGCCTTTCTTTTTTTGTTGAAAAAATTTTTGAATTGCTTTGATATTTTTAAAGCAATTAGTTCCTTTTATAAATTTCGATAGAACAATGAGAAGACGGACTTGATCTGAAAAATGTGATGTATTTGCGCTATACATTTCGAACAATCTGGTCACACATATACTTGTCAAGGCATTTTTATATGAAAATAATAAAGGTCAAACAAATAGAAGTTCAATTAAAAATAACTAAGGGGAGAGAAAGGATAAGAAATTGTCGCGTTATCCTAGGCGATTGAATGACTTAAAGCAATTAGTTCCTTTTATAAATTTCGATAGAACAATGAGAAGACGGACTTGATCTGAAAAATGTGATGTATTTGCGCTATACATTTCGAACAATCTGGTCACACATATACTTGTCAAGGCATTTTTATATGAAAATAATAAAGGTCAAACAAATAGAAGTTCAATTAAAAATAACTAAGGGGAGAGAAAGGATAAGAAATTGTCGCGTTATCCTAGGCCATAGAATGACTTAAGGATTACCAAGGTAAATTCAAGGTTACGACAAATTGTTTTTGTACACATAAGGGGGGTTTAAATGTACGAATAGCCAAGGCTTCAATAAACTTAAGAATTCGTCCTTGATAATTTCTATACAACGTCCTAAATGCTGTATCAATGTCAATTTTGTGTCCCGTCTCAATCATATGTTTCGCTATCGATGAACTTGGTTTTCTACCTCATACGTTGATCGGATCATTTGACACATGATATTTTTATCAGAAGGGGTTTGTGGAGATTTTTAGAAATTTTCACAGATTGAAATCATGAGTCAGTTGAAGCTAGACCACCATTGAAAACCTGGAAGCACTGGACGGCCGTTTCATCCTAGTATGGTATTTTGTTAACGATCTGGTTGTTAGTAAATATAGCATTTACTTCTATTACCCATATAACTAGTAAATTTCTCCAGTAAAGCACGCTAAATTGAGAATTAAAGACGAATAAGTAGTAACTGCAGTAATCTATTCAGATTACATGGGGACACCTTGAAGAGCTTGAAGGAATATCTATTGATAATGGCAAGACGAACATAGCTTATAGTGACAAAATCAGCATTTACTAACATTCAAGCAAACCGAACTGAAAGATTCAACAACAGAACCCTCTATCTACAACAAGTCATCAACACTCTATAACATTGCTAAATAAATAATTACAGTTCTAATAAGAATATTTGAATGATAAAGAAGTCTTCAACAGTTTAAGGAAACAATAGTTACATACCTCATCACTGGCAGCTTCCAAACGATGTACAGCAAATCTTCTACCGGCAGGATGAAGAAATTGACGAGTGAACAGTTCTAGGACATGTTCAGGCGCTATTTTTGGCCATTGTTTTAACAATTCAACAGCTTGATTCACTTGTTCTGTATATTCCCAACGAACAGATAAAATGAATTTCGCTAAAGAAGTCTGTAGAAGATATAAAAACGACAAGCAGTCCGACTGGTTTGAGTAGGGCTAGTGCACAGAGAATCCTAATGCAAAATTTTAATCTAACTCTCTCTCCTAATACATTTAAGTATACCCTTGCTAAATATCATCTGACCATATTTGTATATTATGGTTTCCATGTCTACTTACAATTCGTTCCACTGGTATTCTTTATATAATAACTCTTCTCTTTAATGAGTAATTCACATAATTTTTAACTGCGTTTCTATTGCATCTGTGACTTACTTTATGATTGGTTATTCTGATATTTTACAAATGACCAAGACTAATGAAGCTTAGCCATTTAATCTCTAACAGAACCTTCAGTTGTCAGCAACCAACACGCCAGGACAATCAACTAAGACAACTAGTACATTTCCTTTTTTTAAACCAAGTGATAGAGATAACACTCATTGCAAAATATTATATCTATTTAATTTTAAGTGCAAATATTCTCAAACTTTTAGTTAACGTATTCAGAGAATTCTGTTTTATCGGCATTCTTGTATGGCACGATTATGGCCTTGCAATAAACGACAACTCTCTACAGACTAAATATGGATGAATAAATTCGAATACAACATTGGGCAATATTGTATACCTTTTTTTAGCAAGATTCGATCACTGCACTTTTCAATCGAAGGGAATTTAAAGCGAAATTCAAAATCAGAATTTAATATAATTTCTCATAATATTTTGATTTTCATAAGTATGTCTAAAGAGATTAACACGTAAACTGTTAAACCAATTGCTACCTTCTTATTTGAATTGTATTATGACACGAATATAAAAATATAGAAACGTTTAGTTAGTAAACTAAATACCAGTATCTGAAGTTAGAAATTTTAAAAATCGGGTTTTTATCCACAGTTTCAATGGTAAAACAATACGACAACCGCCCTTTCAAACATTAGGACCATCTGATTTTCAACTGTACAAATATAGGAGTAAACATTCCCATTTTAGATTTGTTTTCACTGATCAATTATGAATGCTAACCGAATCCATCCATAGGATTTTATGAAGTTCTTATCTACTTTATTTAAATACAAATATTATAACAAAGCGGAACCAGAATAAATATGCCCCATAACAATAAGATGAGGCTGCGAAGAGATTCAAAAATGAAGGTGAGTGGCATAAAACAAACAAAAGTCAAATAAAAAATAAACGAGAGCAGTAAATAATGGGAGAAGCAGTTCAGTTAACAAGAAAGGATTCTTTCAGATACAGAATTTCCATCTATAAGACTCCAATTAAGGAGTCGTGAAGGACCGACAGATTCCAATCCAGCGGTTTTTTTGATACCATGATACCATGTCATACACTGACAACTACACCTCTTTTTCCAATCAGTTTCTGCGTCAGTAAATAATACAAGATGTGGAACTGATTGAGACGAAATTTGTAGTACATATCCAAGTCACTGAAGTCAGTGTTTTCATGATTGGCACCAGATGAATTACTGTGATTGTGCAAGAACACACACTGACGAATCTCTAAATCACTAACATGATGTTGCCGTTGGATGTCAGTAATCCTTCGGAGACAACGATGATTAAACACAGATAGTCATCTAACATTCTCAAATTGAAGAAGTCAGGTCTCAAAAGTATAGAGCAAAACCCCGCTCACCAACGCGTTGTAGATCCGACATTTTACAACCAGACTAACATCACGAAAGCGCCAAAGATGGCCCACATTTGCATAAGCCACTCTGGCTTTCACTATACGTGAATTCGTCTCATCACTCACGTCACCACCACCACTTAAGCATTTACCCAGATACAAGAACTTCCTGACTAGTCCTATCTGGTAAGTACCTAGGTTGAGTACAGACTCAGGGTTATCCCAGTCTTGTAGAAGTACTTTACACTTAGGAGGTTAAAAAAACACATGCCATACCTACCAACACTGATTCTCAATTGATTAAGCGCGAAATGCATGGTTTGGGTAGCATCGCACAGTAAAACAAAATCATCCGCAAATTCAAGGACAAAAACACTTCCTCCTGACAAAAGATCTATATTACCAACACCTGTTTCCAGCTGCAAGTTCTTAAAAATTACTGTGCTACGAATTATTGAAGAAATTACTCAAAATTACTACGGTAATTTGTATATTTTCCTCCTACTCCATACTTTGAAGGATCGAAGGGTAATTACATTGGGATTCATACGCCTATTATATGATGGGTAAGAATAATAGCTGTAATAGATTATTTCAACCACTAATCAACTATTTTTAAGAAAAAAACGTTTCCGATTAAAGATAAATTCCAGTAATCAATTATTGCAAAACATTTATGAAATATATATTTTCGAGTAATTACAATTTACATTAACGATAAATTTGTCGTAATACTGCATCATTCCCCAGTCAGAAAATTTATGATATTGAATAAAGCAATTATTATCATGATCACTCTTGAATATGCCGATTTGAATTGCAGCATTGATCCAGTGATCTACAGAGCTGAGTCATTGCTTCCTAGTTTACAGTAAGCATTTGATTTAACATTCGTTTACATGACCCAGCTTCAAGCATAGAGTAAGGTCTAAAATCCAACACTTAAAATGTAAAATGTTTTATTAAAAATAGGTAACAATAAATCTTACTTCAGGGAATTTGTCAGCTAAATAAAATCGATACTTCCAGATAAGATCCCCATCTGATTCGGATATATTTAATCCTGGTGGTAAATCAAGAACAAGCTTAATGAATGAAAAAAAATTAATTAAGAGTTTATAGTGATAGATCTAGTTCAGCAATTACATGAAAACTAAATTAATTGAACTATGAACACAAATAAATTGAATTAATTAATCAGTGACTAAAATTGGTTGATAATCAAAACGTTTGAAGTGAAGAGTATTTTAAGATCACATAGCTTCGTATCATGTTTTGAATTTCTCGTGGCACAGGCTGATTTAAATTATGAGCACTTGCGACTTTGTATCTTCCACCGTCAATTTTAAAAATCTAAAGGACAAACCTTAAATGCAACGTTTATGCGTAGCAACCAAAATAAAAGAAATTGAGTTGGGATAGCAACTATTGAGTATAATACATCAACGATATTATTTAAATTAGGGTGAAATAGAACGTGTTAAAAGAACCAATAAACTAAACATCGAAAGACAGTCATGATGGCGGAAAAAAAGGAGCGATGCCTAGGATGAAGTAGTTTCAAACCCTAGGTTCAAGTATTCAAAGGGATAATTAATATGATAGTAAGTGAAATAAGCCATCTTCAGTCAATAAACAATCTAACAATATTTTACAGCTTAGTATATACTAAATTATCTTTATCAATTGAAATGAAGATATAATATTGTTATTATTATTTAACAGTAGTAGAATTTCCATCTAAACACTAAAAGCACGAAGTTTAGAGAAGAGGTCTCTTTCCCGAGAATTTATTATTAAGCTGTACAATCCACAGCTATAAAAAGAATGTTCTATGCAGAAAATCTGAGACTAATGTTCACAAACAGAAATTTATTTTCAGTATTCGTAAACGATAAGCTCTCTTAGTCTAGTTGTCTCTACGTGGATCTATCAGTTTGCCTGATCTTGTAGAGTAAGGTACATAGGCAGTAGTCAGAGCTTGCTTTCAACTCAGATACGAGAACATGTTCCAGTATGGTTTTACAAAGGTGAGGGGAAAACTTTCAGTTATATTCTAAAACATGTAATTCATTCTAACCATTCCACTGATTCACAGGTTAACTTTAAGGTTGTTTATAGAATTCACCCAAATCTACTAGGATTTCTTCGTATTCAGCCCCTAGAAAAGGGAAAAGCTTTCATCATCCATGAGAAGAAGTGTGTATATACAAAAGTACGTCTTATTGTTGTCTTTACCAAGAACTTCAACTGTTATTTTTACTTTATTTTCATTTTATTGATTTCATATTTGAAAATCTCTCTCTTTCTTTAATTATTTCTTGTATCCCCATGATTTTTACTCATAACTGTTTCGAATATCACTTCATCTCATTTAACCCCTCTAAGACCCTTGATTATTATGACAAGAAAACATTTTAATTATTTTATTCTATTCACATTATAAATAAATGTTAACGTATTCATTCTATACGGGTTTTTATTTGCACATAGACATTCTTTTATTGTTATTATTTACACTATATAATCTAGTTTTACAATCATTATGTTTATTCATTATTCACATGTCTTTACTAAATTAATGCTTTTTAAAAAATCTCACATACTGTACAGCTTGATAATAAATTCGTTGAGAAGAGATCTCTTTGCTGAACTTCGTGTTTTAAATAATATTTAGTAAATTCTATATATGTCAGTATTATTAGAGATTTACGAAACAAAATATTCTTACAGTTAATTATGATTTACTAAAATCACTCAACACCAAGAACGATCTTATTAAATCGTAAATTGTGATACCGCTTAATCTACTTACATTAGAGAAGCTGAGAAGTATCTATATTATGTGTATTCTAAAGTCTAGTACATAAATAGTAGCCTGATTTATTAGCAGTTATTTAAGAATGAAAACTTGACAGATTTGAATTAGTTACTTGCACCGCTTACTACAACCTCTACAACAAAAATGAAAAATAAATTTAATCAAGCATTTAACCGTTGATACTCATGCTATGTTAACCAAGAAATACAATAAGAAGTGATAAACAAATAAATAATAAGATGAATAAACTGACTTTCAATCTATCTAATATGTCTTTATTAGGTTTACGTGCACGATCCACGTCAGCTGTACGAGCATTACGTGTCATTTTAAAATACTTTTCATCTACTGGATTCCACTAGAGGAAAAAAAAGTGAAAATTGTTTCTGACATAATTAACAATAATTCACAACAAATGATAAAACATAATATAAATAACACATAAAAGAATGAAAATGATTATATGTCAGTGTTTTCATAAAATATTAGTCCAAGTAACCTCATATTTTGTATGGAATCAAGGAGTATTAAAAGTCTAATAAGGCCCTATCAGATAAAATAATTCCCAGTCATACAGTCTCAGTCACATCATAAGATCGGTTGGCTAAGGGATGCACTAAACTGTCAAGTTAATTAGACTAAATACCTGGCTTAAAACACTAACTGCTAACTGACCGCTAAGTTATTTCAATGACTTAACCAGTTCTTAAATTATTCACAAGCTGAGTTTTTCAAGAATTGCGTTCACTACGTCGGATCATTTAATCACAAAGCTCTGATTGAATTTCTAGGCAATATTACTAATACAAACCTAAAAAAAGAACTGATTTCCTAGTATTTCTCTACAAATAATTAACAGATTATTCGGTTGATAAGATATAAGATTGCTTGTAACGAGTAATTGTGATATCATTGTTTCGACATATTATTTAATTACCATTTTTCCCAGGTATGCCCCTAACTTCTTATTTGATTATCATTCTTCTAATCGACAGATAAATTGAGTTTATTTAAATTTATTTAGAATTGCACTGAACGCTACTCACAACGTTGCTTGCAAGTAGTATATTACGGAACATGGTCTCGAAGTTGTCAGACGGAATGAAGAGTTTCAGGACAGAGAAAGCATGACGTTGGAAGACCAGACGAGAAGAATGTTTAGAATTCAAAACATACTAAAAGACGAGAATGGACGATCCAAGGCAATGTGTAGGTATTATGTAAATGCTTTGTAATTTCTCCCAATAAGTATAGATTCTTTCAGCCTATGGTCATTTTTCACATTAGATGCTGAATGGCTTAGACGTTTAGTTTTAGGAGACTCTCCAGTCTATTTTGTATCGCTTTTATTTACAATTTGCAGTGACATTTCAGTGTCCATAATCACCTATGCGCTATAATATGACCGAAAATATCTTGCGACGTTTATGGTTAATGCAAATTTATGTAAACGGGGAGGCTACTCTGTCTGTTACTTTTGCTCAGAGTTGTAGATGACATTCAGTTTTCTCTATAAGTATTTCAATTAGGACACCGGATGGGTCTGTGACAGAAAATTGTCACGAAAATTAAGGAAATACATATGAACAACATAAGTATAAGACAAAGTGTAGTTCCGATTAGTATGAATAGTAGTAGAAATAGTACCTTCCATAAAAATTTAAAGTGGTCGGCTACCATTCACTTAGGAAATACAGGCAGCTTATCATTTCAGTATTTACCAAGAAGCTAGTAAGATAAACAACTGATCAGCTTCTGTGAATAACGAACCAACAATTAGTTCATGTCCAAGGCTGTAAGTCACATTTATTTCACGAAAAAAAATTTGTTTCAAAATTATTTTTTATGAATGATGTGATTTTATCATAAAGCCACGATTAATTAACAAGAGTGTCTTGAATGAAGAAATAAAAGCAGAAAACAACTCACTCGATCAGCTCGTAATTCTGACTGTTCAGGTAGAAACTACAGAAGAAAAGAATGAAACAGCTATGACAATGTGAAAGAAAATTCTTCGGAATACAAGGTCATAATAACTTATCCCAATATTATGTAGCTACGTGTTACAATGGTTTAACTAATTTTGAAAAAAAGTACACAAAATTATTGCAGTGTAGTGTAGTATGGGCTTTACAACTTGGAACACAAATCTAGTGGACAAAATGGAATTATTCGAATAATCTGACGAAAATCTGATGATCTGAGTATGTCTTGCAATTAGCATATATATGTTAACACTCCATGTCTATTCTATTTTAACAGTTAACCCGATAGCAGAATGTGAAATAGTTTATTTTTACTAATTATATGGATGTAATCCAGTTGTTTATCGAAAGTAGGCAACATTAGAAAACTACATAAACCTAATTCCTTCAAAATAATAATATTTTGTGATGGATTTATGTAAGGGTATTGATCAAAGTAGATTACGTTATGGAATTTCACTAACAGTCGATAGGGATATCATAAGACATAAGGGAGAAATTGTTATCATTGAAACATTCACAAATTTTATTATTATAAAATCTGAACGAATTTTTATTCTATATTTGTTGAATGATACTTGTGGTTTATTCCACGTTTTTTTCAGATTTTTCTCATTATACAAAATAACAGCTAAGCAAGTCATGCAGCGATTTTGATTCGCAAGACTGCACATTTAATTAGTTTATGAAAATATTAAGCTCGTAACCATAGAAATAACAATGAACAAATATGTGAGAGTCTAAAATGTTGTGGAATACATATGGCATTCACTACCCAATATTATAATCATTTACAGAACTATTAATTACTTTTGGGGTTTATGGTATTTTATGTAAAGCAGGCATGCAAGCTATGAATCAATATTTAGACGCCAAATCCTTCGACGACTGAGCCAGAACATTTTCAGTGAAGATGTAATCACCTTTTCAGATCATTCCACAAAACGAATACCTTAGACGTCTCTTCCTTGATTTGTTTTAACAACTTTATTTACACAAAATTTTAAAAAACACAGTAAAAACTTACTGGACGCTGAAATATTACAGGCATATACACAGATGGATAGCTTCGTGAAAACTCAAATTTTACACTAAGGAATAAACGTCCACTAGCTCGTTTCGCCTCATCAACTGCATGTTCCACATCTGGCATACAATGTCGATCTAATGGTGTTTCTAACAATTCATTACGAAGGTGTTTACGATTCGTCTAATAGAATAGTATATGTAAAGAAAACCATTAGAAATGTACATAAACACTTACGAGGAAGAGATTAGGATTGAAATCATTTTCTTCGAACTTCCGTCAAAACTATCAATAACATTTTTTTAGTTCAATACCCTAGTAAACACCAATGAAAACTGATTGTCTGATTATAAATATCTGAATGATTTTCTGTGTAGCAGTGATCGTAATTTATGCAACAATATAAGCGATGTTATCGAATTCATTAGAAGCAAAGCCACTGATGATAGTGAAGCAGATTTAGCTATAGTTTGGAGAGGCCTCTTAGTGGTTAAAGCGTCTAACATTCAAACACTAAGTCTCAAGTCCTAACCTTGCTCCAATTACTTCTATTTGGCAACTATGTAGTATCACTAGCTTTTACACAGAGTGAGAGTCAAAGCCGAGGAAACTGATCTGTACCTGATAAACAATTTAAATATATTAGTGATTAGTTTTCCCCACTTACTATTCGTACTATCTTATATGTTCCTTTCATTTACAGTGTTTTTATAATCCTTCTTCGTGCTCACATCTTCTAAAACTTAAGTCACGGATAAATAATAAATGGGATGCAAAATAATGACGACATATGTGTCCGTGTATCCATTGGAAGCAGACTGATGAAATTACCCAGGTTTCTAAGCCTCAATAAGCGAAGGATTCAAATCACTGATTGAGAACCGAACACCTATAGTGAAGGACCATAGCATAATAATTAAGTAAATCTGCGACTGAAAATCTGAGTTTGTAATAAGTATACTACCCTACTCCCTACTCCAAACATACGTGACACATAAAATTCTAAACAAACTTAAACACTCATCAGATCGACTAAGAAAAAATCAACAAAAATGATCAAAACTTTGGAATACAAAAGAAAATGATCGTCTTTCTGAAATGTCCTTATCAAAATCAAATTAAGCTAAAGAGCAACGAAAACTTTGGAAGCCAAAAAGCCCTTGAATACTAACAGAAATTGTTTAGCTATAGAGTACCACTTGCGGTTTAGACAACTGAATATTTATCACTAAGCCATAGGTTCGAACTCCAACTTGTTCATTCCTCATTCACCAAGTACATGCTTGTGTACATGGCTTTGAGCTACACTTGGTGTGTGAGAGTTAGCAATACTAACATATTGTTTAAACCACGGAAGCCAGAGTGGGGTTCGAAACCGTGATTTATTAGTCGGAAGCCAAGTGTTTTCACATTTGTCAGCGTTCTCCGAACCCTCATTCAATCTATTTCAAACCAAAAAGTCAGGTAACACTATCAAATCTCATTGCATCCAATAAAACAGAATAAGAAAGTACTTATAGATACTTTGTTCTTATTGTCATAGTAAAAGATGAGAAAACTCAATAAAAAATGTCACTTTTATCACAAACCTTAAGGATTTGGTTCATGGTATCCATATTCGAAGGTTTTGAGTCAAAAGTAGGTTCCCTTACTAATTTTTCAACATCCTCTAGTCGATAAACACCTAACGGTTCCAAAGGATGTAATTCAAGTTCGTAAATTCCTTGTCGAAATACTCTGAAAATTATTTAAATGTTTAATATATATTCATTTGTTTTTGTGAAGTTTTCCAAGTAAACGATATAAAGTATGGCTATATAACAGCACTTATGATTCTTATGTTAGATATCTAATTTAGAAAAATCTACAATACTGGTAGGTTGTGAGGCATATTTACTAGATGTCATAACTAGATAGTAGAACGGTGGGTTGATTAAAGGAAAACAACTACATCTTGCTTCCATTACTTCGGTTTGGGCAGCTGGGTACTATTAATGATCTTCACACAAATTGTGTCTTCAAGTCGCATACACAAGTATGTAATTGATAACTAGGTTATATCTAATTAGCCAATTAATTAACAATTAAATCAGAATAGTGGGATTAAAATCTCTCACTTGTGAAATCAGATATCAACGTCTAAAAAATTAAAACATACCTAAACACAACCGATTGCATGGATATATAAGGAGTGATTTCTGATATAGGAATCGGTGTTATGGTTGAAGTGTTGACGGACCATACAGTAAGTGTTCGCATTATAGGTCGAGAAAGAAGTATAATTATTGGAACTGTTTTGCATAATGACCACCGATGAGATACAAACACCTAACTCGATAGTGAGGGATACCTTTAGCACTCAATTTTCGAATTCCTTGTTTTGGTGATTAGATTGGATCCACCGAACAAGCAGTATTAAGACTGAGATCAATAACTTAGTCACAGTGCAATAATCCTTACTCACCTTAATCATAAAAACTTGATCAAATTTACAATCGTACAGCGAACTAATATGAGCACATAAAAATTGGTAAAAAGGAGCACCAAATACATATGAGTTACACAATAACAATGAGGTTGTGAAGAGATAGAATGTAAAGTGCGCATAATAAAAATAACGAACAGAAGTTAGTGTATGAGAATGAAGCAATAATAATTGTGGGAGAAACAGTTCGGTTAAGAAAAATACAACCAGAAATCCTTTCAGTTAAAGAAGCTACTTTCACTTTTATGAAGAAAGTAAGAGAAAGTTACAGCAGGATCGCCAGTGGCTTCTATTCTGAGCCATGTCTCATAACACCTCAAGCCGCTTTGTTGCTCCATCTCTAAGAGCCCAACTAGGGAGTCGTGCAAGATGAACAGAAGTCAGTCATGTACAGCTTTCTTTCATACCACGACACCTTGTCATACACTGACCACCTCTCCACTTTTTCTAACCAGTCGTCAAATAATGCACGACGTGGAATTTTGTGGGACGACATTCTTAAGACATGTCCAACCCACAAAAGTCAGTGTTACAAGTTGACGTTTCAATATAGTGACACCGAACGTTTACATTACAAACATGATGTTGCAGTTCAGTCATACGGGTACAAAAATAGTAAGATTTGCTTATATATTTTAGTCCACATAATACGATGATTGTAGGTAAATGGTAGTTGCTATTAACTTACTTTTTAGAATTATATAATTTCATGTTTGCACCAGCTATTAACTGTTCATGCATACCTTTTTTATCCGTATACGTAGATGACAGGACAAAACAAATTCCGTTATAGTCGTACAAGGCATTATATGGTAAGGGTAAATCAAAGGCTTCATTAAATCTAGAAAACAAATCTACACTTGTATCGTTTGTCATACAATTGTCTGTCAAGATTAACTTGTGTTTGAGACCAATTTGTAATAAATGAATTTGATAGGAAAGGGATATCACGTGTGATACAATAATTAATTCGTAATTCACCATAACATGCGAGTGGTGTATATTCACCCTTGATGACTTTATACCGTTCAGGATCGAATCCAGTGATGCTCATTCTATAAATCGTTTGATTAATGACAGAAGGGTTAGTTTACATCTTAATACATGGATAAATAAGAGCTTGTTGTCGATCGTCTGTAGAAGCTGACCCAGATGTTGCCGTCGCTACCACATTACATGAAGGATAATAACCCAATGATAGTGATCCCATAGGACGTGAGACACTAAAAATCTGAAATTATAGTTAATAATCATTATTGTGCACAAAGAACTAAAGTAATTTATTTATAAAAGTGAGTAACAATTCATGATTTAAATTTTCGAATAAATTATGTTTGGGTAGTATTATAAATCAAAGTGCAACAATGGAAATTATAACCGAGCTCGATGTGTATTGATAAACCTTTAAAGAATCTTTAAGTTTGCACAGTCCAACTTATTGAATTAGTAATTGATCACAAAAAACTCGAAATTACGAGTTTTGTGTTAAAATAAGTGTTATTAAGTCTTACTGTCTATTTCGTAATACAACTTTGATAAAACAATACATGCAACCGAAATCGAAGTATGAAACCATCGTGAGCGCGACAAACAGAACCCTGAAACTTCCAAATGAAGTAGTTAGGAGAATTGGGAAAGAATCCTATTATTTTTACCTTACAATAGGGCATTTAATGCAACCATGAAGAGTCTGCTAACCTCCGAGATTTATTGCAGAAGTATGGTCACATTTTCTGAAGGATTTGGTTGCTACTAAAACACAGAATACAAAACGAAAACCCATTTTCATAGAGTGAAGCACGTAAGTCGAAACAGGTTATGTAATTACGATTTTCTGCCCTTTTCCTCAGAACCCTCTAACCTGTTTTATTTTGCTGTTAGTTCAGAAATGAACTCGTGAACATTCAACATTTTTAATCACCATTTATAAATGAATATCTTATGTTTTCATCCATCAAGAATATACAATCTATGAGGACACATTTAAAACATAAACCACACGATACGCTTAAATGGTTTAAAGGTTAAACGCTCGCCGCGACGGTCCTGAGTCCGATCCCATTTTGGGTGGCGGTGCGAACTGTTGTGGAGTCCCGTGCTAGATGAAACAGTTGTCTAGTACTTCCTGACTTTTAGTGATGCGAACTGGGAAAGATGAAATTCCTAAAGTCCATGAATTCGCTTAGGTGGTGGAAAAGTGAGTCACTGAAAATCTATGGTGTAACAATTGCAACTTCAAATGAAGGGAGTGACGAGTTTCACACAGTGTTAATTCAGTTTTAATTGCACTTTTCGAACCAAAACCCACACATTATACTTTAGCTGTAGGCATCTTAGCCGAAGTTTATTCATTTTTCTTGCACAAATGTTTACATTTTGAGTTTTATAACTTTTTAAGGTTTCGTTTTCACATAAATGACTCCGACAAACCCCCAATGTGATAAGGGTGTTTGCTACCTTTTGACTGAAAATTGATGATCTAATAACTGCAACAAGTGAGATCATAAAATGTGTATTGGCCTAACCTCCTGCTGCCTTTAGACTGAGTAGCAGGCATCGACCTCTAGATGTGCAAAGTGTGCTGCTCTACAGAATTCCTCGTGATACAGGAAGCTATAGAGCTGTTGAACATCAGGTGGAAAATTCCTAAGGAAAAAGTGAACACAGAACAGCTAATGAAAGTCTGTGATGCTATGTCACCGTTGACCCATTTTCGGAACTTTATAAGACTACTAAGGCGAAACAGCAAATCACAACTCAATGATGCACGATGGACTTGAAGGAATAAAAACGAATGCCGGGAAACATGTCATAATACTAGTGACATAAGTAGGGAGCATAAATTAGGGGTCCCTGATACCAAACTGCAAGCTCACAGAAACCCACACTGAAATTTGACCAGAACGAGTAGAAGACTATTCAGAGAAACCCCAACTACATTGAAATTGATGTGCTATCCTGTAAAGTGGTGATGAAAGATGTGGCTCAACCATCTATCTCCATACCGATCAACAAAGATGAAAATAGTTCAAACAAAGTAAATCAGGAGCTTACTCGGCTCTAACAGGTTATTTGTCAACCATAAACTGGACGTTTTTAATACTCTAAAGACGTTTAAGCTACAAAAAACTAAAAGGGGATTAAGTGTATACGGACTAATCATAAAACATCCCTTCATACAAATTTTATTCTGTTACTTTATTATAATTTATATTATAAGCTCTTTACATTACACCTGGTTAGTTGAGAACATTAATTGTAAATTAAACTGGGTTTCCTTTTTAAAAAAACTTAAGTCAACACGCTAGATAATAATCAAGGACATATGAAGGTATATGCTATGCTTTTGATTTTTTTGCTCTTTTAGGTTCTAAAATGAATCCAATAAATGGACTCGAATTACGTAACTGTATGATTGATTTCATCCCAATGTCAAATCACATCTACCTACCAAGAAAATACTAAACCCTAACACTTGATCTATTGCCTGTCCTCAATGAGAACCGAAAGATTGTCAGTCAGTCAGTCAGCTACAATGTAGGACCAGGCACATATGCATCGGTCCAAGTTGCCACACCTCGTTAGCACAACAAGACGAACACCGGATTTATATAAGCAGTTAACTCAATGGTGTAATGTATAAAGGAAAGCTTTTGTGTAAGCATATAGTACAGAAAGAAAGGATTAATTCATAGAAAGAAAGATATGGAGCGATTTTAATCTCATAGTTTAAGGGAAAACAGGGAGTGTATACACCGACACCATTGTGATCGATTCTGAGACATGTCACCAAGAGTCTCCAACCATTGGTTACGATAGTCAGGCAGACCACAACCGAGTAGACTGCATCTACTACCATGGCTCAGATCAGAAGCTAGTGTCTTCAAGCACTGATGCCACGTTTTGGTTTGGCCGCCCCTAACTTTTTTCCAACCATCCCCTACACTAGTCATCATTGCGCGTCGTGGTAATCGGTGTTCGGGCATACGTAAAACGTGGCCTGACTATCTCAGTCGATGAAGATTCACAACCTCATCGACTGATTTATTATCAATTCCTAATGCCCTGTGTCTAACCTTACTGTTACTTTGCCGGTGATCCAAGCAGACACGAGCAATATTTCTAAG